GCCCGGAGGAAGCGCGCGGGGCGGGATCACCGTCGCCGCCTGTGATCCACAGCGTGAGCACGGTGATCAGCGTCCCGGTGCCCAGCGCTCCCACGAAGCCGACGAGGAGGCCGAGCACCAGCGGCCCGATCCAGGCTGCTGGGCTTCGCGTGTACGGGGGCTGCGGCAGGCGCTCCACGATCAGCTCTAAATCGTCCCAGGAGGGCGCGGGGACCTCGGAGCGGCGGGCGCGCGGGGCCGGGGCCGGGGCCGGGGCCGGGACGGGGGCCAGGGGCGGCTGCACGTAGTTCGCGCCTGACCTGCGCAGCTGCAACGTCGCCTGCTGGTGGAGGTTCTTGGCCAGCTCCCGCGCCACATCCGGGCGGCCGCTGCGCCGTAGCGCCCGGGCCACGCGGTCCCACGACAGGACCGGGGCTTCGGCGGCCAACCAGGACGCCAGCGCCTCGCGGCAACCGTCGGACACCTCCCTGGCCCCGGTTGGCACGCCCTCCTGTCCCTCCGACGGCTGCGTGGCTGCCGCCCGCCGCCGTTGCCCCACGATACCCTGCGCTCCGGGAGAGGGTGTGGACGGCTCGGGCCGTGCCAGCCAGTCCTCAGATAGCCGGGCCAACTCGGCGTCCACGTCGGGCTCGGGCGCCTCGAGTAGTGATCGGAAGTGGCCGCACTCCTCCGGGGTCAGCAGCTCCGACAGGCGGACTGCTGCGTGAGGGCCCATGGCGTCCAGCGCGCCCACGGGGGCCAGCGCCCGGTTGCAGAGCGCCAGAATCAGCGCCCACGCCATGGCAGGGCCTGAGGGAAGGGCTCCGAATGCCGTAAGGCCAGGCATTGTGGCGAGGGACATTCGTGGAACATGGAACACTGCTGCTAGAAAGGAACTACCACGCGGGGGTGGGGGCGGGGTGCGCACAGATCTGAATGCCCAGGGTCTAGGGGAAGGGGTCCTCAGCAGCCCCCGCTGAAGGCAGGGATTGGGTGGCAGTCCGGGCCTTATATTCAAACGCCTAATCTAAACCCACCTCCCACTTCCCATCTTCTCATTCATTTACTGTCCTTCGACTTCTATCAGAAGCTCTGGATGCTGCTCTTCATTCAAGGCCCAGATTCTCTCAGCATGCTCTCGCGTCTGCTAGTCTAAACCCTCATCTTCCCAGAATAGGGCAAACCCCCAGTTCTTCCATCCCATCACACTGGACCCCCACTTACCTAACACATGTTTTCCCAAGATGGCTTGAATATAACCTCCAGTCTGGCCTCCATGATGAACCCTGCTATACCATGCCTTCAGGAAGCCACACACACCGCTCACACACATCATAGTCCCTCTAAGAATCCCGCACCCACCATCTTGCCCAGCACTGCAGCTACACCTTTGCACTGCCTCATCCAGAAGACCAAGTGTTCAGCAGAGGTCTGTTGACTCAACGGGAATTCTTGTGAACCAGTCCCCTATTCACCCACATGCAGAGGCTACTTCAGGGTAGCTTAGGGGCCTGCCTGACTGCTCCCACCTCAGGTCTCCCAACTGCTGCCCCCATTTAATGCTCTTGTAACAAACATGAACGATGTCAACAATACTCTCTCCAGCCTCCATATTTTACTGACCTTTACCCCTCCCACCTGTGAAGGTTCCTGACTTGCCACTCGTGGGTACTTGTGTGGTGTGTGTGATGTGGGGCACCTGTGTGTATACTGTATAGGCCTGAGTCAGATAGGCTCCACCATTCTCTGCCTTATTCACCGAGTCAGCGTCTCTGAGGGAACCCCTACTTTTGCCTTCCGAAGGCTGTAATTACAGGGGAGCTGCCATAGCAATCCAGTGCTACATGGGTGCTGGGGGCTCCAGACTTGGTCTCCACACCTGCATGGCAGCACCCTGCCAACGGAGCCATCTCCCCAGCCCTCTTGGGCATTTTTTTTTCAAGATAGGGTTTCTCTGTGTAGCCCTAGAACTTTGTAGACCAGGCTGGTCTTGAACTTACAGAGATCCGCATACACCACCACTGCCTGGTTCCTCTTGGGCATTCTTGAGAGAAGCCCTGTGTTCTTCATTGGCATACTCTTCTAGAAATACCAGGGGCTACTCAATAGAAGTCCCCAGTGATTGCATCAAGGTCAAACAGTTGTGCCAGCTGTGAGGAGACCCTTACGATCCACCCCAGCCTTTATAAATTTATATGGTCTGTTTGGAGGACTGTCCTACCATGGGTTCTCGGGGGTGTCCTTGGCAGTTTGGGGCGGTTGTTTTAGTCAGCATCCCCACAATTTTGTCATACAATAGGTACATGATAAATTGCAGGAGGTCATATCTGGACCTCCAAGGACTCTGAATCCTGGAAATACCCAATTGGTCTCTCCAGAGGTTGCTCCTGGCTTTGCCTCCTGTGAGCCTGTAGTGAGCCCTAAAAGGGAACCCAGTATGCTATTCCCCTTGGCTTGTGGCAGTCGAAGACCTGAGATAGTAGTGGGCCCCAAGCTCTCCATAGCTCCACAGTGTCCCTAATTTCTCCATCTCTCGGTGTATCACGAGCTGTTGAAGATCGTCAGGACTGAAAGACAGTGAGGAAATGGACATAGGCTCATGTGGTCTGAAGCTCCGAGCTTCGGGTGTCTCCACACCTTGCCTTCTCCCCTACGGAAGACAAGCATGACTCTCACTTGCTCAAGCAGGGCTGTTGTCATGCTCGAGGGCCCCCTTCCTCTTCACACCCCATTTTGTTCATGCATTCATTCAACAAACACACCCACACATCATTGCTCCTTACATCAGCATCCAGAGCCAGATGGAAGGCGCTGGATGTGACCTCCGGTCAGCAAATGACAGCCACGGGCATGGGGTGAACAGCAAAGTTCTGTTCCTGCTGAAGGGACAGAAACAACCTGATCAGCCAACGCTCCCCGCATCCCACTACCCCCAAGAAATCCTCCGAATACCACATGTCATACTTTAATACTGTGTAATTTTTTTTCTTTTAAAATACAGTCTCTTCTGAGGTAGACAGACCACAACTGCAGAGCATTATCAGACAGGAGATAAATATGTCCATGTACAACACACAGCAAAGTGAGGTAGAAATGGTTACAGCTGAAGGACAGGATCCCGACCCAATAGTAGCAGAGGGAGTGGGCAGTCTATGTGCCACCCCTGCAGGGCATGCTGTCCCCACCCCCGCACTCCATCCCTGGATTCTTTGGTATGCCCCCAACATCACTAGGGCTGGACCCACCCTGCCATCCTGCCCCATGCTCACGAGGTAGGGCTGCAGCCTGGGGCTGATTCTTGTGCAAAGCTTCCAAAGCTGGAAACAGAAAGAGCCCAGCAAAGGAAGTGTAGGGACCCTGGGGATTGGTCCATGAACCCCCTAGAGGTGCTGCTGCTTGAAGGTACAGCTGGGTTCCCAACTTCACTTCCCTGCCCCTCTACCCCCCACCCTACCCCCAGACCTGAGAGAACTCCCTTATCCCATGTTCCTACCAAGGATCTTTTGGCAGCAGCGCTCTGTGGCCTCTGGCTCCAGAGAGAGGCTCAGAGGAAACAAGGACGAAGGGAACACAGCAGCTCTCCCGTTCACACTCAAGGCTGGCACTTGCACGGCAGCTCTCCCGTTCACACTCAAGGCTAGCGCTTGCACGGCAGCTCTCCCGTTCACACTCAAGGCTAGCGCTTGCACGGCAGCTCTCCCGTTCACACTCAAGGCTAGCGCTTGCACGGCAGCTCTCCCGTTCACACTCAAGGCTAGCGCTTGCATGGCAGCTCTCCCGTTCACACTCAAGGCTAGCGCTTGCATGGCAGCTCTCCCGTTCACACTCAAGGCTAGCGCTTGCACGGCAGCTCTCCCGTTCACACTCAAGGCTAGCGCTTGCACGGCAGCTCTCCCGTTCACACTCAAGGCTAGCGCTTGCACGGCAGCTCTCCCGTTCACACTCAAGGCTAGCGCTTGCATGGCAGCTCTCCCGTTCACACTCAAGGCTAGCGCTTGCCCTCGGTACCTGGCCCCGGCCATGTCTCTCATGCCATCCTCGGCACCCAGAAAGTGAGGAGGACGAGGAACTGTAGGGACAAGCAGGGGGGCTAGGGTGGGACAAAGATGGGGAATGTTCCTTCTTTGCATCAAAGATTGTGAAATGGTCTGAGGAGCTGAACAGCTGAAGCCCCATTGCGGGAGCAAGCAGGAGGAAAAGGGTTTGAAGAGAAGGAAGGGCTCTATTTCCTCTGTCATGTCATCCTCTCCAGGCCCCACAGTCTGGGAGAGCAAGGAAATACATTCCCCACAGAACTGTCTCCAGAGCCGTGCTCTCCCTCCTGACAGGTCCCAGAGAAACAGGAGGCCTGGCTCCTAGTAGTCAATATTGTGCCAGCCAGACTTCTGGCTAGACCATTTTCATTCTGGGGGGAATCCCTTAGCCTGGTATAGGGAGCCTCTGACTAAGCAGGTGTCCAGTGAGGTAACCTGAGAACATTCCACTGGGTCACCTGAGGCAGGACATGAGCCAGAGTACCCCAACCCTCTGTAAGTTTCCCAGAGAACCTGAAGCTGAGGACTGGGGCCCACAGGAGACTGGCCAGAAGGAAGCAGCAAGTCTCCCTGGCCCCCAGAGGGCCCTGCTCCTGCTCATCTCTCCCTTGTAAGCTGGGCCTGGGGAGGAAGCCTTTAGTTACATTCTGTTTCTGCCCCAACAACAGCAGTTTGGGACTCATGTCTGGTCTTCCTCATCAGCCCCAGTCTCTCTGGTCTGGGAGAATCTGCTCCCCTGGGGTGGAGCCTAGGGGTAACAGGAGAGCAGAAGTCTAACATTCTTTCTAAGGTCAGTTTCTTCCTGAGTTGTCAAAAGAAAAAGAAAAACAGCAAATCCTACACATCTTACAAAAATAAGAGGCCTAAAATATTAAGCAATCTAAATTTCTGGGACTTCCCCTCAAAAATGAACAACAACAACAAAAACCCTTCTTTGGGTGTTTTTCCCCTTGTTCCCACCCCTAAGAGCCAAGATTTCTAGTGGGTAATATACTGAGGGGTTGTGGGCTCCCTACCCCGCGCCCCCTTCTCAGCCTCTGGGCCAAAAGAACTTCTGCCAAGACCCTGCAGAGTGAATGAGGAGGAGGGAGGAGACACAGAGGAGCCACACAGAAAAGCTCGGAGGGTGGTACGGTACAGGAGGAGGGGACCAGAGGGAGGAGCCAAGAGCGTACAGGGATTGTATGGGGAGGGGTCAATGACAAAGCCTCGAGGAGAAACTAAGCCTAAATAGAAAAGGTAGGATGGGAAAAGAAGGGTGGCGCTCAGAGGATAAGGAGACAAAAGGATTACGGAGAGAGGACAGGAGCTCCCTAGGCCCTGGTGCCAGCTCATGTCGTGTGTGCCCAGCGGATATGGCGAACTTCCCGTCCACAATAAATAGGAGAAACCTGAGTACACTGGTGCACATGGCATCGATCTGCCTGGCAGAAGCATTTTCCTTCCCATGCAAACAAACTCACCAGCAGAGCCCTCCCCTCTTTCACCCCACATTCATCACTCCTTTGGCCATCCTCTGACGAAGGTGGCCTCTCCCCGGCCATCCTCAGTGTCCGGAGCCATACATTTTGTCCCACTCCACTAGAGAGTCCAGCTCCTTGGGGGAAGCCCGAGGGCCCACCTTGGCTAGAGCAGCCTCTACGTCTTTGTAGGAAAGGGGCCTCTGCAGTCCAGAGAGGCCCACCTCGGCCGCTGCCTGCTGGCACAGCTGCCCCAGCTCGCCGCCTGAGAAGCCCTGGGTGCCCTGCACCAGGACGGCCAGCTCCCGCTCGCTCAGCGCACAGCCCTGCTGAGCCAGCGCCCTCTGCAGGATCTGCCCGCGCGCCGCGCTGTCGGGCAGCGCCACGTGCAAGCGCAGCGCGAAACGCCGGCGAGTCGCCTCGTCCAGGGCCGCCGGCCGCGAGGTGGTACCCACCACCAGCACGCCATCGTGGCGCGCGCCGCAGCCGCCGTCCAGGCAGGCCAGCAGAGGCGCCCGCAGCGAGGCCCCGTCGTCCCGCGCCGGCAGCAGCGCGTCCAGCTCGCTGATGAGCAGCACCGCGGGCGGGCGGCAGCGCGCAGCCGCAAAGGCCGCCTGCAGGAGGCGCGCGCCCTCGACGGCGCCCGAGGCGGCCAGGCCGGCCCCGCGCAGGCGCAGCAGCGTGGCGCCCAGCTGGGTGGCGAGGCAGCGGCCCAGCAGAGCTTTGCCGGAGCCGCGGGGCCCGAAGAGCAGCACGGTCCGCGGCGGGCGCGCGCTGCCGGGACAGGCGGGCGGCCTCAGCAGGGGCCACAGCAGCTCCTCCTCCAGCGCCGCCTTGAGCGCGCCCTGGCCCGCCACGTCTGCCCATTGCACCGGGGGCCCGCAGTCTACCATCTTGCTGGTCACCAGCTCCAGGGTCCCCGGGTCCACACCCTTGGGAGGTTCCCCCGACGGCGCCGTGAATCCTCCGCGGGTGGCCGGGACCCGCTCGGGGGGAAACTTGTCAAAGGGCTCGAGTTGCAGGCCGTAGGCGGGGGACCCCAGGACCTTGAGAGCGCCGCCGCCGCCGTACTTGCCGGTCCCCTCCTCCGTAGCTGCGGCTGGCTTGGCGCGGAACCCGTTGCCCCGACACTCGGCGTCATCCGCGGCGGGGTAGGCGGCGCCGTCGGCAGCGGGGGCCTTGGCGGGCTCGTAAGCGTACTTGCGGTAGCGAGCCTCCGCGCCCTCGTCGACCGCCTTGCGCTTCAGCGACACGCCCTCGACGGCGGCGGCGGTGGGGAAGCCGTAGGGCGCGGGCCGGGGCGGCGCGGGGGCGGGCAGGGGCGTGGGCGCCGCCAGGCCGGACGGCAGGTAGGGCGCGGGCGGCGCGGCGGGCGGCGGGAGCGCCCCGAAGCCGGGCTGCGCGGCGTAGCCTGCCGCCGGGTAGTTGTAGAGCGGCGCCGAGGGCCCGTAGCCGGGCGGCGGTGCTGGCTGCAGGAGCGCGGCCGGAGGCGGCGGGGCCAGCGCGGCGCTCGTCTGCGCGCAGTAGCCGGGCGCCAGGTACCCGCCCCCGTAGCTCGTCGCGTACTCGGTGGCCCCCGACGGGGCCCCGCAAGCATTGCCGGTATACAACGGCTCAGCCAGGTTCCCCGCTACCACCGGGGAGCCCCCGAGGCCCGCGGACCCACCCCCGCCGGCCGACTTGGCTCCCGGGAGGCCTTCGTGGAGCGAGCCCAACGGGTAAGGTGGCTCCGGCCCGGGCCAGGGCTCCGGGTCCCCTTTGGCGCCGTTGAGGAAGGCGGTGTCACTGTAGCTGGCCAGGCCCGGGCGCTCGTAGGGCGAGTCCAGGACTCCGGAGTACTTCTCAGCGTAGCGCTTGAGGAGGTTGGAGGCAGTGAGGGCGGAGATGTCATCGTGTGCCCAAGCATAGTGGCAGCGCTGGCGACCCCCTGGAGGCATCTCCAACTTGTGGGCCGGCGATGGGGTAGTGGAGGAGACGTCCAGGTGCTGCTCTGGCCACTGGTTGAGGGGCTGGGCGTGTTCTGGTGTCCAGTGCATCTTCATCAGAACTGCAGGCAAGAAGAGCAGTGACTGGTCAGCTCCTGCAGCGGCTCTGGGGACCCACTGACAGTCCCCAGACTTAGATGATGACAGGCTCTCCCTCCCAACCTTCTGAACCTTTTGTTTGCTTGCCTGTTTGTTTGTTTATTTGTTTGAAATAGTTTCCTTGGCACCAAGAGGAACCCAGAAGTGCCATGGTTAGCCCTAACTGCACACGTCGGACAACAGCAATCTTCCCCACAGCAGCTGTGCCTCCTAGGAAACAAAGCTCATTCCTGGGACCCAGCAAAGGAAAGGGCCAGACTGGAAGAGCTAAACCATGAGACTGGGGAGTGACCAATACTTGCCGTTCACCCACTATGTGCGGGCCACGGCAGGGGTGTCAGAGTTTGTAAGGATTAGTAAGGCAGGCCCAGAGCTCCTGGCAAGGAGGTCCAATAAGTTGGCATTCCAAGATTCTCTGTTCACCTTGGCCTTCACTGAAACCCAAAGTCCACTTTGGGCCTGAGGTCAGAAGTGCCCTGGAGTGTGATCCTGCCCATCCACCCTGTAAACCACAGTGGCTAACCCAACAACACTTATTTCCTTGCTATTTGATTTCTTTGGGCCTCTGCCTAAAGAAACTAGAACCCTGCCAACTAGAACATGCCTGTTCGCCTTACAAACATTGTGTGGGACGGGCAGATAATTTGCTGAAGCGCATGGGGTAATATGGAGCATGCAGGTGACTTTCAGCGGCATCCCAGGGCTGGCTAAGTACCTGCCTGCCATGCTCAGCGACCTGGGATCAGCACTGGAGGGGTTTAAAAAGTGAACACTAATTTGTTCTGAGCATCCCAGTCACCAAATAAAGAGGGAGGTACGATCACATTCACTTTGCAAAACACCAGTTCTCAAAAGGAACAAAAGTTTCTGGTATGTGGGGCCACAGAGCGGGTCTGTGAGCTATCACAGTGTCTCTACGCCATCAATAGCAAAAACAGTCCAAGGCCGTTCCCTAAACTGTCCTCTGACATCCATCAAGGGGTGAATCTTGAAGTAGTAAGAGATTCAGAGCCTGAGGAACAGTTTTGTCTTGCCACGTGGCTCCCATAAGCCAGCCTAGCCCAACAGTAAAACTTCAAAGACTAAATGAAGTGAGTCCATGGCATACCCAGACAGCCCAAGCTTTTGATGGATTTATAAAAGCGCCGGTTCTTCCTTCAGCAAACTTTGTATTGGTGTGTGTGTGTGCGCGCGTGAGAGAGAGTGAGGAGGGGGGAGAGAGAGCACGCGCACATTGATGCACAGGGGACTGAACCCAAGGCTCCTGCAGGCCAGGTAAACACTATGGAGCATTGCTTCTAACTTCTCTGCAAAAACTGTATTGAGCAAATAAGGATGGCTAAGATGGCTCAGCCAGCCGGGAAGAAGTCAAATAAATACCATCCTTTAATAGAGGGGCTTGCCTGAGGCCCTGGAGCTCAGGAGAACATGCCTCTCCTGGCTGAGGACTCACCGAAGAGCTAGTGTCTCTGTGGCATCTAGAACAGTCACAGGGAGCAGTGCATCCCAGATGACAGAAACAGTACACTCAGAACGCCAGGGCTAGCTGGACGCAGTTATGCAATTATGCACACGTGCATTCTTTGCTCTCAGAAGGAGCCCTGGAGTTTAACACCAGCTTTAGCAGTGCAAAGCAAAACAAACCACGGCCGGCCTCCTTGGTGCACTGTACTGCCACCTGCTGGAGACATATCACAACGTACAGATCTGTACCAGGCTCTTGTACTGTGTACACCTACAAAACTGCACACTGAGCCTATAGAGAGGACCGAGAAATGCAGTTTCTAGAGTCGTGACGGTGTGTGTGTGTGCGGGAGGCTGAAAGCAGTGTTTCCTCTGGTTGTGCACAGCCACCATACTGGCAGCGGCTGGTTATTCTTGGAAAATGAAATGGCCTGCTGGTCCACCTAGAAAAAGCATGAGCTATGCACTAGTACCTGAAAGGAGGGTAATAGTTCTGGAAGGTACCAGCAGCTGGAAGGAAGAACAAACATAGAGGTGGGGGATGTGTGTTCGTGTTCTGAGTCCCAGCTCCTGCTGAGGGTTTTTTTTTTTTTAAATATTTATTTATTTATTTATTATGTATACAATATTCTGTCTGTGAGTATGCCTGCAGGCCAGAAGAGGGCACCAGACCCCATTACAGATGGTTGTGAGCCACCATGTGGTTGCCGGGAATTGAACTCAGGACCTTTGGAAGAGCAGACATGCTCTTAACCTCTGAGCCATCTCTCCAGCCCCCTGAGGGTTTTCAAAGATGAGAACCATTACTTGGTGACAGAGGGGCAGTTTTCTGGGACACCAAGTCACAACTTATCCACTTCCTATCACCTGTGCCCTGGCTCCCAGATTCTCAATACAGAGAACACTTGAGGACTGTGTCTCCCTTGAGTGCAGGTCTGGGCCTGGACTTGTCCCCGTGAGCTTCCTTCTCCCTTGCCAGGCAATCTTGACTAAGTCCTCACCAGGTACCACAGGGAGTCACTCATCGGACACTCTGACCTGCCCTCCCAGCCTGACTCCCGCTCTCTTCTGCAGAAATCAGCCCTCTGTGGCGGAGACCGATGCCTGGTATCACCCCATACTTCTTAATCACTGGCCTGTCTCCTCAGATACTTTAGATTTTTTTTTTCCATTTTAGCCAGGAAAAAAGAAAAATGAAGCCACTACCCCCGTTTCCCCCTTGCCTGCAGCTGTATACACCTTGTAGGCCAAAGGCCTGGTGGTCTATCCACCTCAGCTGCAGATAGATCCCCATCCTGAGCCAACAATCAGTCCAACCTAAGTGCTGTGCACAAGTTCCTCCCATTGGGAACGTAACTCTCTTCACAAATCCAAGATGACCTCCCTTGGCCCTGGGTCCCCAATAACTGCCAGCCTTGCTCTGCTCCCCTTCTTTTGGGGACTGCTGCCTATGTGTGGTGAACACGATCTGCCACATGTCCTCTAGGCTAGCAGGTAGGCAAGGAGCCACGTCTTGGGCAACTTGGGCTTTGCTGAATACTGGAACATTGCACTTCCCTCGAGCCTGGAGATGGAAAGGATCTGGTCTGAGTCTGAATCAAGTCTGAGGCATGGGCCCAAACGGAAAAGGGAGGGAGGCCAGGCTCCAGGATCTGCTTTCAGGTTGAAAGTGGTAGCAAAAAGGATCCCGGAGACACAGCAGACTGCAGGAGTATGTACAGCTTTAGGTCCGTGTGCACTTGAGAGTACAGGTCCCCAGCAAGAGTAGTTCCAGGAGCTTCCTCCCAGACCGAGCCACACCAGCCTGGCCTTCGTATGGATAGCGATCACTAACTCCCTGCTCCCTACCAGCCCTTAACACCCCTACACAGCCAACCTCCCCACTTCCAACTCACTCTATCCTATCTATAGTTCCGGGGTCGGCAGAGCCAGGGGTGAGGAACACCAAGACTTGGGCAAGAGCAGAGCCCTGAATCAGGCAGACCTGTTTCAAAGTCACATCTAGACACTGACGGGGGATCCTGAGCAGACTACCCAACCTTATGGAACCTCATTTTCTCCAGATTAAAGGGCATAATACATAACAGGTAGAGGATGGAGGATTTACAATGACGTTGAAAGGCGGTACAAACTATAGGCCCCAAGTAGTACCCTCTCCGGCTTAGTGGTGACCTGGGGGCTGGGGCAAGGAGCTGACTGGAAGACTCCTGCCAGCAGGACAGGAGAGGATGGTCCTCCCGCCACTTCATAGACCCCCTCTGTGCTTCCCCCATGTTGGTGCTCCAACCTACACGAGACAGAGATGCAGAGAGAGCCCTGCCTCTCTCCAAGATACACAACAGATAGGAGTCAAACTCTGGCCCTCGGTATCTTCCTGCAGTGCCCGCCTCCAAGCCCTTCAATGCTTTGCCTGAGAGTCATAGTGCTGGCTCCTGTTGGTCTAAGAAAACGGCTCCCAGATCTTCCTGTAGATATAGCTGTCTTCCAGAACTGTGGATTTGGTCCTCGTACCTCATGGGTATTTGTATCCTCTGGCCAAGCAGCCCAGAGAAAGCTGTCCCTTTCCCTCTGGATACGCAGTCACACACAACAGCGTGTGGACCGGAGCTGGCAAACAGTCCTTAGTTTGGGTTTTGTGGCTTGCCCTAGTGGTAGCTGGGACTCTGAACTACACACACACACACACACACACACACACACACACACACGGCACACGGTATGATAACCAGCGGTTACAGAACTACTGAATGTAAGAATAGTTTCTCCTACAGCCCCACTTCTCACTGGAGGAAGCCTGGGATTGCAAAGATTGATTCAGCCTTCACAACCAGCCTTAGCGCTGCACTCCCTCCCTGCCTAAGAGCGCCCAACCCATCCATGTACTTTGACAGCATAACCAGCTGACCCCATGCTGTCACTGTGTGGCCACCAGTCAGACGCCCCACCTCGCTATTCTTTACACTCTGTCAGTAACTATCGGTTCCACAGGAGAAGCCCAGACATTTCACTGCAATCCTAAGGGTTCTCAGAAGTTAGGCTGCACGGTTTCGAGTCAGATGGGCACGACCGCACTCACACAGTGTTAACACCTCTCTCCGTTCCCAGAAGCCCCTTAAGACCTCAGAAATTCTGATTCCAGATTCCATTACCCACGGAGGGGTGGGCATAGTAGAGAAGGGGCATCTGGCCCCCACTCAGCTGTAGTGGAGGAGGGCTCATGCTCCTTTCTGGACAAGCCTCCTCCAGCTCCATTATCTCAGCCTGGGACAAAAGGACCAAGTGGAGAATCTCATTGTGGGGCCTCGGTATGGAGATCTCATTAATCTATTCATGCAGGCTCCCACAGGCCTTTTGTCATAGGCTTTTTGTCTGCTGCTTACAACTCAGGTCCCAGGGGTCCGCAGTCCCTGGCAGAGCCTGAACAAGCCTCACTGCTCTGGACCCTGCCCCTCATGCCAACTCCCAACCATTGGAAAAAGAAGGAAAGA